CCCCAAAACCCCAAAACCCCAAAACCCCAAAACCCCGATATCAAAGTTGTAGATTGAGAAATTTTAATAAACAGCGGTTTCTTATTCCAGCCCTCCTGTGTACCATGATGGAGTCAGCTGTTCTATCACTTCAGCAGTTGTTGTTGACTTTTCTTCCTTAGTGAAGTTGAATAGATCTGGCAGAGGGTTTCCGTTGGGTAGTTTGGTACCTTCTTCTCTGAGTTCGTCGAAGAATGAATGCAGCAAGCATTCCATTGGCTGTAATCTCTCGTTTGGATCGTAGACTAGCACTTTGGACATGAAGTCAATTGCATCTGCAGGAGTCTTTGATCTGAACACTTTTCTCCAAGGATGTGCTTTGATCTGAGGAAACTTGAACTCGGTATAGTTTGGATTCATTGCCATGATTTGTTCCTTTGTTGGGGTTCCTAGAACCTTGATAATTTCTACTAGCTGATCCACTCCACTTTCTCCTGGGAATAATGGTTGCCCGAGCATCAGTTCTGCAATGACACAGCCGACGCTCCACACATCTATAATGCAGTTGTAGTCCTGGCATCCAAAGATTAGCTCTGGAGCTCTATAATATCTTGAACAAATGTACGAAACATTTGGCTCTCCTTTGATAAGCTTTTTGGCAGACCCAAAGTCTCAAAGTTTCAGAATATGAGTTGCTGGATCAACAAGCAAATTTTGAGGCTTAATATCTCTGTGACAAATACCTAAGGAGTGAATATAAGCGAGAGATCTGAACATTTGGTAAGCGTAGAGTTTGACTAAAAGAATGGGAACACTCTGCTTCATCTTCACATAGTGTCTCATTATTCTATAAACAGTCTCTGGGACATAGTCCATGACCACATTCAAGTATACCTCGTCTGTCTTATCTCCACTTGTATAAAAAGCATGCTTCATAGTAATGACATTGGGATGGAAAAGTTCTTTCATAATTTGAAGTTCTCTATTCTTATATCTTTTATCCTGATACACTTTCTTAATAGCGACTACTTCTCCTGTTTCAGAAACTCTAGCTTGATATACAACTCCAAAAGATCCATTTCCTATGACTCTTTCTGCATTGTAAGTAACACTTGTCTATATAAAAAGTTGTTTCAAAGCAGAAACCTCAAATAATCCTTCATGAGTGTTAAATCAAATTTACAAAATACTTCCAGAGGTGTTTATTCATAGTACAAAGTATGATCGTAGTTTATGGGTCAAGAATGTAGATAACAGTCTATTTATCACACTCTTAACAGTGTATAATCGAGATATAGAAGCTACTGATAAACTAATGCTCTAAATAAGACTCCACAAAACGAGAGGGTATTGAGCAACACTACTTATGTGCAAGATAAATTGCATATTTGGAAATATTTATCATACAGGCAACAATCTCTTTTTCATTTTACAAACTCAAACTCAAATGAAAAGGATGAGTTCAGCGGATTATCCATAACAAAGTTCACTAAGCAAATACAGCTGTGATATTTCAAACAGGCAATGAGTAACAACATATTTGTGATCGAAATTATTGTAACTTCTGGTAATATTCTATTCTTAAAGGAAAATCAGAAGTAAATTTTCAAACCCAGAAGTTCCCCAGATGTTCAAAATATCCCAGAAAGCGTGCAAAGATTGGTTAAAAACTTTATTAAAGGGGGAAGGAATTGATGAATCTGTCTAAAATCAGGTTTAAAGGCTTCTAAGTGTTATTTAGAATATTTTGATGCGTTCTAAGGGCATAGAGATATGTACTTACCTTTCCTTTCTCCATATTAATTATTATATCAGCCAATTTTAAATATTGAAATAGGGGTTTTGGGGTTTTGGGGTTTTGGGGTTTTGGGG